GCCACCGCGGCAGCGGCAGCGCCGCGATGGACATCTCTGATACAATCATACATAAAATAAATGTCCAAATGTAGATTATCTGTTTTTCTTTTTAATGAAAAATTGAAAAAAACCAGTTTTATCTTCTGTTACATTGTCACGATTAATATATGGAACAAGAATTTTATTTCAGTCGTAGGTAACAGGTACTTTGAAGTGACCTATTATTCACGTTAGTGTGACTGTTGCAAAGAAAAACAAACAAAATGTCACAAGAACAGATAGTAAAGCAGCAAACACAAACAAAAAAATAATAAGGAGATTTTTAAATTACAGGTGCTTATATAATACACAAATGAAAGAAAGAAAGAAAAAACTCCTCTCGAATATTTCCAATCAACACAAATAAAAAAAGAAAAAGAAAACTGTACACATATATTTTATGCCTGATATTAATAGCAGTATTTTTTTTCTAATGCATATGAGAAAATATGTTGCTGAGAAAACGGTTGTAGAAAAAGAAATAACCACGAGAACAAGCAACCTGTAATAAAAAAAATGCTGCTAATACATATATGGATTTAGAAACAATAATAATAAAAAACCGAGAGAAAAAAAAACCAAAAATTGACAATGTTCTATACATAGATATTTTTATTTATTTTTTTATCGTAGATATTTGTTCAATTCAATGAAGGCACAATCTGGTATATTGTTCTTTTGCATTAATTTGTCACATTCATTTAAATAACCAACGAGTACTTCAAGAGCAGGATGTCGAGGCATATCATGTGCTTCTACAATAAATTATAGTTCGATTAAAATATGAATAAAAAAAGAAACAAAATAGATTTATTTATTTACCAAGAATGGCACTATTGAGTATACCGGAAATAGATTCTCGCTGAGATGGTTCTAATAGATGAGCAAGTGGTGATGATTTAGGATCTGGATATGCTAATAAACTAAATGCATCCTAAAATAAATCAAAAAAATATTCATATAATTACAAAAAAACGACAAATATTTGCTATGTGATTAAAAGATTCTCACGAGGGAATTGTCCCAACTGTAACTTACTGTTTGAATTGAGATTGGACTTATAAAACTGTCTCGGTAAGATGAGAAAAACCTAAAGGACTTTGTTCCCATGGACATTTAGAGCCGATTTATGACTGTTGTATCGAATTTCGATCAGAAATTTTATTCATAGATAGGTCTAATGACTTTTTGAATATGTGAAAAGTTTCAATCGAAAAGAATGTTCTTCCATCCAGATATTTAATTTTCACGTAAACTCAATTCGAGTAAATACTTACAAATGGGTCAAAAATTTAATATGAACTCAAACGATGAATTACACTTGGAATAGTTCCAGCAACAGTATAAGTAATAAAAATACGGTTTCAATAGAAAGACATAAAGAATATATCACTCATTTATTCACACTTAAAACTCTGCGATATGTCAGTATATAACTAGCAACTGTACACGATTTTCGAAAAGAAAAATTTCGACTACGAGAAAAATTAATCAAAATGAATTTTACATGATAGCTTTATATAATATGGCTAACAAGAAAATTTCTTCAGATATTCCTTTCCACTTTCAATGATTTTTTTCCCCTATAGATACACTAAGTTTTAAAACAAAATTCGATAGCTTAGTCAAATCTCAATAGGGATACAAATCCTTTTCAGAGTTTTTATTAGAACACTATGTAGTATCTATCAGTGAACAATCATTAAAAACCCAACAAGTGATATTTATATTAAAAAAGACAATTATGCTACAGATTTTATGATTGAACATGACTATATTCATGTAATACTTGATAATTCAATAAAAGATAGAAATGTATCTTTTCTTTTATACATGATTTATCTAACAATACCTGTAACATTTTATCATGTTGTGTATTTTCTCCATATTCATTATTTAATTGTTGTTTAAGTGCATGTAATTCTCTACCAAATTGAAGAATTTTAATAAGAAGTTGATCATCTTTTTTCTGTACATCAGATGAATCTCCTTCAATATCCATTGTATGATTTGAATCATTAATGCCATCACATTCCATTCTATCGAAAGTTTCTGTTGATTTTGCTAAATATTCATTACTGTTTGTATTCTTATCAATAATTAGATTATTACTATCATCATCAAATAGTGAATGACCATTAGATATTTGATTTGTAGAAGAAGAAGAAGAAGCAGATGAAGAGGAAGAAGAAGATACTGTTCCATTATTGCTAAAACCATTTGTTGTATTATTAGCATGATGTTCATCATCTATATCCATAAGATGAGTTACATTATTATGCGATGGTAACGGATTTACTGTTGTATTAATTTCTAAAATATTGACAAAAAAAAATGTAAACTCATTAGAAAATTAATTAAATAATTGTACCTTGTAATAATTCATTATCATTTGCACTTGATCGACGTGATGAAGAATTGATTGTTCCATTACTATGTTGTTGTTGTTGTACCTCTGAATTCGTTGTTTGATTATGTCCAGATGTAGATGGACTATTGGAACGAGAACGTGAAGATGTATTAGTTTTATTTATAGGTGATGATGAACGTTCATTTGTTGTTGCACCAGAAGAATTTTCATTAGAACATGAACTATTTGAATGATCTATATGATTTAATAATGAAGTATTTGTTATTTGAGACGATATGGACGGTTTAGGAATTTCGCTTTCAGTTCCATTTATCATTTCAATAAATTGACGAACTTTGAGCACAAATAAAAGATTTTTATTATTGAGCAATGTAGGAAAAAGTTCTTTGGTTTTTTCAATTGCATCTGTTGTATGACCTTCGAGTATTAAATTTTGAATAACTAAAAAAGAAAATATTTGAAATTGGATTAATTTTAGAATTTTTGTTTTATTTTTTGTTCTTATATTTACGTTGTCTATTACGCATAGAATTAAGTTCATCAGCATAGACATTTTCAGCATTCTTATTAAATTGTTCAGCTGTAGCACAATAACCATAATGCACAAGATATGTTGAAACAATACGACGTAATTGAACTTGATGTAATAATTCATTTTCTTTTAATGTACATTCTACTATTGCTCGACGAGTTTTTTCTCGATATTCCTGTGTTTTTTTTTGTGGTTTTTTTTTAAATAAAATCTTTTATTTTTCAAATAGAATTAGTTTTACTTACATCCATGTATTTGTCTATATCAAATTTAAATGGACTAAGACCAAAATTTGCTTCGATAGCTTCAAGTGGTGTTTGTAATCCTACTGTTGGATAGACTTCTGCCTAAAATACAATAAAATTATGCAAAAAAAACTGCTTTTCAGCATAGTTTCTTTGGGGACTAAAATATGAAACTCACATGTTATTCTGAAGCCTTATTATACTAATAAAAACTATGCCAAATGAAAAATTGCTAGCAGGTTATTGCTATTTTCTAAAGCTAATCGATTGATTATATTCAAAACTTGTAACTTGATCAATTCATTCTGGTTACATTAATCATGTGACGATGACTGTACTAAACATTATCTAGACATTCCGGTTTTCTAGACCATTGTGAGCCTTTTCCGGTTGGTAAGGAACTCTGAGAAGAGGATCTGACACCTATTGGCTGCGGTTCTGATATTTTGGATCTGATGGGCTCTAGTTGTTATGTAAACGTACACAATGTCTATCAACTTTTCTGTCCTACTCGTTCACTCCGGTTGCTCAATCCTAGCGAGAAAAGCCGCATGAACTTCAATTTACACTAACGCTCACTATTTTTCTTGAAAATACATATGAGGTGCACAAAAAGAAGATGAATTAGTAGTGTTAATTACCGGTATGTCTTTGAATGATGTACCTAAAATCAGAGATAAATTGATGCGTCAATTATATTAGTAAAACAAAAGAATTTACCAATGTTATAACCATTGTGAGTATAAAAACAAGAATTTTCAAGAAAATTTACACAACAGCCAACAAAATCACCGGTTGTAAATGTTGGTCCATAGGCAATACCAGCACCTGATGAACAAAATGAATGACCATCATCACCATGATAACCATATGAGCCTTTATCCCATCCTGGTAAACGGTTGAGATTCACTTCACTAGTTGAAAGACCAATACCCATATATCTAATTATAAAACAAAAAACAATAAATGTCAAAGATACTTAATGAAAGATGTTATGCTCCACTATACAAAACGACCGTATCGCCATGAAAATAGATCAGACATACACAAAAGGCTCCATGAATAATTAGAACTACGAATAGACGTCTGTTGACTTGTAACTATTTTACTAAGTTTTGCTTGCGTGAAAGTTTACTGTAAGTTTTAGCTAAAATGAACGTTTCTTTTTGGAAAACTCGAATTTAAGTGAAGACAAGAGTTAAAATTCAAATTTATTCGAAACTTCTTGTTTTTCTAAGGAAAGGTATATTTGTTTTCATTAAATCTATTATGTAATTTTAAAGACCATTAACTCTATTTTATGATAAAACAATTAGCTTGTAATTACCCATCACGACCTTTGCTAATAATTTTTATTTCATAATAATAAATTCCAGTAAGTGGTGGAATAGGATGATCAGAACGGACACTAGCTGCATCTTTATGTGATTTTCCAGGTCCTAACATCCAACAATTGAATAGAAAAAAATATTTTAATCGTATACAAATTTTTACCTTTATATGTTACAAGAAGATTATTTTGCTGAAGTGCTAGAGGTGATGCTTTTTCTTTTGAACTCCATTTCGATGGTAATGGTGTATCTTCAGTTACATGTGGATAGAGTTGAGCCAAACGTTCTAAACCAGTTTTTGTTGTTGATGTGGTAATATGTGATGTTGTTGTTAGTGTTTCATTTTGTTGATCTGTCATTTTTTTATTATATCTTGTTAAGTATCGTCGTTGATATTGTATATAAAGTTTAATTAATGTAAAAATAAAATAAACTAAATTAACAGCAATAATTAAACAACACGTGATATATGCGTAATTAGTCGAACAACTTTGATCCATTCCATGCCTATAGATAACTAGTTAAATAAATATTATAATAGTACTAATTGTGAAAAGAAGAACACATACATAAACAACATGCAAATAAAAACAACGCAAATCAGCTGACGCCTTCTATATCACAGTTATGCAGTAATGTGACAAGATGGCGTACGAATCGCTTAAATATTTTTTGATTTTCTTTACTTAATGAGAATATTTGTTAATTGATAGTATTCAACAGTGACTTCATTATGAATTTTTGTTTCTTTGAACTGAAGTCTTTCGTCGATTATAATACTATAAGAAAAAAAAAATGCTGATTTTATCAGTTCACAGATGTTACTAATTTAAGAGTCTTTGCTATAGCATTTTCGGATTGGAATTGAATAAAAATGATTTCAACCTTTACTCAATGTACTCATCTTATGAAGTAATTGAAAGAGATGTTTGAATGAATAAGAAATATTGATAAATCAGATGGCATGTTGTAAATAAGATAGTTAATCATTTGTAGATATCATTCTTATATAGCGAATAATTGATAGTTGAAAGTGATCATCACACAAGAATTAATGAGTAGAAACATATCATTATTTTTTAGATTGCTGTTTTCAAAATAGATCGGAAAAATATTTATTTATGTCAATCCTCAACATTACTTGGAAGAATTTTATGCGACAGAAAAGTAAAGGCAATATGAAAGATAATTTCATTTATGAACAAAATTTATCATTAGATAATTTTCTTTAGATCTTGGTAACACTTCTGATTTTCTGGATTTTTGCCGTTCTTTCAAAAAAGTAAAAGATTATTCATCAAAACTAAAAGAAATTAGAACTACTTCGAAAAAGTCAAATACCAACTGCGATACATGTGTCTATTGTGAATGCTAAAATAGCCCCATCAAAGCAATTGCTGTTTGACATTTTGACAATATAGAAAGATAAACGTCATGAGGCTAATAGATGTCTCTTATCTTTTAATAAACATGTTGCTATATGTATCCGAGCGCTTGTATACGTGATTATAAACTTTTACTAAATAATTGGAATTTTAGATGTTATGACAAATAAATTTGACGTTAGACGTCGAGTTGAGTTAACGCTTCCGTTTCGTTTCTTTTAGTCTATCTATAAAATAAAGGCTTTCCAAGACGTGACACGATGAAAATGACATCTCGATTAATTAGAGTAACAAAAACTAATTTATTTGTTGATAAAAAAAATATAATTTTAACAATGAGATACTTAATATATTATATATATATATGTATCGAAATGAAACCAATACAAGCCATTACCAAACTAAGGACGATTAGGCAAACAGAATTTATAAAAAAATATATCAATTACCATATTAACAATATTTTCCTCTAGGAAGCAGTGCTTGATATAGAAAACTTTTATGCTAAAATTTTTCAAAAAATATGCCATTGTACATTTCCTACATATAGAAAGTGTTCAATCATACAAACACATGTGATCTAAATGACTATATATAAACGCACTTATTGACGTAACTGCTCCTGATTCTGATACGTACTTTCACTTCTTTTAAATTTTCAACTGACGAGATATCATTCATTCAACTAGTATTAATTTTATCAAAAACATCATTGATTACTTTAACAGATTTTCTAGTTAGACAAATTTTTCAACATAAATATCAAGTGAAACAAGGCTATCGTGACATAACCGTCGTGCTAACTGTATGCAAAATTATGTTGTAGAGAACTTCGTTCACTATTTTTATTTGACCGACAAATTAGCAAAAACAAAAGACTTATTATGTTTGGCCAAACACTCATCTATGTTGCAGTTATCAAAATTATATTTGATTAGGACATTAATAGAAAATTGATCTCCGTGTTCAATTATTCTTTCTCATATCAACAAAACCCGAACAAATTTTTGACTTCCCAAAGATCTCATATAAAAGAACGCTTCCAACAATACACTCACTCAAATATTCTTCTCATCAAAAAGCAAAAAGACAGATAACACAATAAATCATCATCGTCTGATGAATGCGTATCTTTGATAACTGCTCTATTCATTAACTTAGCCACCTAAATTAAATACTTCAACGTAGAGCATCAGTAAAATAAACATGCAAAACCGAGTAATACTATTCCAATAAAGCAGTTCAGATGTTTTCTTCATTGCGTGAAAAAAGAAAGCGTCCATCACCCGATGATTCAAGATTACATGAAAAATAAATATTTTTCATTATCGCCATGCTCACCGATTTATTTAATCTGGAGAATCGAATAGAAGAATCTATTAGAATAGATGAGATCAAAAGACAGATGTAGATATCGTATAATGGTTCTGTTCAACTATTGTGCTCAATTCGAATGGAAGTCAGTAACAGAAAGATCGATAATGAGAACGTTGACGTCGCATATGTATTTATCAACGGTTTTATTCACAATTGTTCTGTATTTGAAAATAGATATTACGTATCCTTTTGGTCAGAAACACCTGATAATGGTGAATAATGAAAACTACATGTATGCTAAGCTATTTCATTCAGTGTGGCGAAAATATTCAAGGATATTGAAATTATACTTTATTATATGTTTAATGAAAACTTCTTAGAAGGTTCGCTACAAGAAAAGTGGCTTATACCATTGAAATGAACCTGTCGAATTAATAGGATTTGCTTATAGGATGTTGTATAAAAATTCAATGACTATAACATGTAGGATAAGCATCATTTGTACAAGGAAGCTTTGTCTCTGTGATGATGGTTGCATCTAACCGTTGTTTCTCTAAATAGCAAAATGTGACGTTATTGCAAAGCTTTTCAAAAAACAACTAGGTAAGAAACATTGCAGATAACGATGAATGAATATCTCCAACGTTCAAAACACTTTAATCGACTATATGCTCAAACGATAGACCTCAGTGATTTATTAACCACTCTACGAGAATATGGTTATCCAGACCTTCTGAATGAAGATGTTCAATTATTATTAATTAATAATAGTTTTTCTGTACTACGGTACTAATATATTTGATATCTTGACTAAACATGCTGCTATCCGGCTCTAGTCTATATCAACATTAAGGCACTCTTGATCAGGATGATCTAATAGTGATAGTTGCTGAAAAAATGTTCAATAAGTAATAAATAGCCACAATATCTGCACTGAATGAACAAACATGAGGAATAATTACGTACATGAAAATCTTAATCATCAAATCCGAAGCAAACTTCACCAAACTCCTCAAGAGTGTTTAATAGCTCATTACGACCTATCATTTGAGTATATACTCGGTCAACAAATTATGAATTGAAAATGAAGAGTTTATGTGTTTATCCTAGAGATCAGTACAGAGAGATGAGCATTGCTGAATAAGCATGATCATAATCTAATCAAAGGTAAAATAAGGAAAGCCGAGAAAGGTGACACAAACTATTGGCAACGTTACACGTTAAAAATAAGCGAAAACTCACAAGGATATTTTGATTCTGTTCTCAGCTCTAAAACAGAGACATGTATCAATTTAGATGCTGTATATAACATCTAGCATTGATTTGATCATTTTTTCGTTAAGTATAATAAATCACGCAATACGAGACTGAAGGTTTTTTGATTCATAATTTTCATAGTCACATGATCCTTATATTCGTTTTATCATGCCATGGTCTTCTTGCAGACGAAAGAGTAGAAAACCTCATGATCAATGGATGTTTTGGACATTATGCAGAAGATCAAATACTTTATTTGATGTGTGTTGTTATCGAATGTCTTTGCTAGCTCGAGATGTTCCTACTAAGTACTAAAGTAATTCACACATCTTATCATTTTTTTTGACTAACCAAGTTCCATTCCATTCATTTTCATAATTCTTCTTATTGTACTCTTTCTGATTTGCTAATTAATATAAAATAAACAATGTTTAAAGCTTTCGTCATAGATTCTGTAGAAATGCTCACCCGCTGGTTTTAATTAGCGTGATTGATTACTAGCATATACAGGTGTTTCTTTGACACATATCATGCGATGTCATTCGATTTGATCATTCTGTTTCATATTCAATTTGATTACTGATGATTGCGCCACTTGCTCTAAATCATCATTAAGTTGAAAAATTTCTTGGTTCAATCGAGCTAGATTCTGTTCAACAACACCTTTTATATCTCATAGTTCTTTCAATTCTTGTGACAACATTTGGAATTGTCTTTTAATTTCTTCCAAGTTAGAATTCATGATTTTACGAACGTATTGTTTAACCTTTCCACTAGTTGTTCATTGCCATTCATCAATGCGTGCAAAAGGTGTATGTCAAATTCTTTCTTCGGACTGGTTTCGTTTATTTTTGTTTGAAGATCATTTCGATCTACCGTAAGCCCATCTAATTCAATGAATAATATTCCACGATGACTTTGCAAATCATCATCACAAAACTACACTTTACATACAGGATAAATGCAAATGCCTGCACGTTTTTCGCATACTAGCCAACGATTTGGTGAAGTCATCGCTCTAATAAGAATACGTAGCAGATTGTTTTAAATTAAGAAATTATAGAATCATATCATTCTACGCATAAAAATTGCGCATTGGGAAAGAACGTAGAGCATTTTATTTTACTTGTCAGATTCTGAAACACATAATAGGCACACCGCTTGCGTGCCATATTTTTTTCTCTCCTGTCCACAGACATGTCCTCTGTTTTGAAAAAATAAATGGACGGTGAACTTACTTCATTTTGGTAACATGAATTTCTTACCTTCTTATCAAAGTAATCTCAGATTTACAATTCCGGCACGAAAACTCAAAAAGTACGAACTTGGCGATAGAAATATGGAGATCGTAAAACTAGTATATAAAGACTGTACAGAAAAAAATAAATTACGAGCATCAGAAGGCTGAAGAAGGTAATAACTTGTGATGGGCAGCTTGGGCTTACTTTCAGTTAAACTAACATTATGATGAACAAATAGATGTCAAATGAGATTATTATTTCTGACAAAGGAGAGGGTTTTGTAATATCATATTTTGATAGTGCATAGAAATTATTTATTACGTAGCACATCTCTTTCCTTTAGGACATCCAGTTTTGTTTGTGGCACATAACAAAACTTACCTTTCATAAAAAGTGCTTCACTAACTATTATTCGATTTTCACTTGTTTCAATTGCCTGAAACTAATCGGTTGTATGTAACTTGTTTCATCAAATGAATAAAGAACAAAAAAAGTATTGTTGTTTTGTTTTTTCTTCCAAGAACAATAACTTTGGGAGAATAATGATGATGTTGATTGACAAAAGTAGATAGAAGACGGTCTTTTTCTATTAAATGTGAACGTGATGATAACATTGAATATGTGAAGAAAAAAACTGTAGTAAAACGTTTTAGAACATATAGCAATGAAAGTTAACTCTCTATTGCAGATGTTGTATGACAAATAGAGAATTCATTGTCAAATCATCATGATTACACGAGATTTCGCCTATTTTCAAATATATGCAATGTATCAAAAAGAAATTATATCATTAATTTTCTTGTGAACATTTGAATCTCAAGAGATATATTAATACTTTTAGATAAAGATTGTAGAGGTTCCTGCGACATATATTTATTTATATTCAGTAGTAATAGAACTTTTAAAACTTTTTCTTTTTTTATTCCGTATCAAAAATATTCTTATATTATTTGTATTCGATATTTTTGGATTTCTCTCAATGGCGAAATACATTTTCTATTAATTTTCATTCATATTCATCGATCAAACAATACTGAATATTACCAATCACTTGGTGAATCTAATACAGGTTTTTTATTAATATCAGTAACATGAACAATCGACAAAGGTGCATTAATAAGATTCAATTTCATGGATATGTCCTTTTGATCAACATGCAAACCACTATTTATAATCGATTTTGACTTTGATACAAGAATTTGTATTTCATCTTCGTTCGATACTTTGATAGGACTATTTTTAACATTACTTTGTTTAAAACATAAAAATGATTCCGGTGTTTCCCATGGACCTTTTGAATCTATAAGCCACATGAAAATATCTGCTTTTCGTTTTGACATTAATGAATAATATTTATCTATTCCATTGAGATCATTTAATGAAAAATATTCATCCTTTTTATGACAATTACATGTGCCCATCAATAATGACATATAAACAATTCAAAGTATTAAAGTATATGATCGATCGATGAAGTGAATCATATCGTTTCATTTGTTAAATGAATACAAGAAAAAAAACTAAATATATGAATTTCATAAAATCGAGAATAATAATTCATAAAAGAATCTTATTTGAAAACGCGCAATTATGATTTGTTCACGTCTTACTTTTTTCTCTAAATTCTCACCTCATATACAAAAAAGTACAATTTTTCATTCCTTTTGGTAATTATTAGGTATTTCGTGAGTTTGACAGAGAACATGTCATATTGAGGTTTACCCACTACACAGTCTTGTAGAAAATGCAATTCTGCATGTTTTAATGCCTAAATAAGAGCTTTGAAAATGAACTAGAACTGAAAAAAACTTCATTGTTTTAAAAAATCCTTCCAACATCACCATGAAAAAAAAAATGCTAAGGGATTTTCAACTCCATAAAAAAAGCTTGACTATCTAAAAACCGCCCTGCCAAATAAAGTAAAAAGCTCTCTCTCTTTTGATATATCGATTAATATTTTGTATGAATAACCCGATTAATTTTAGCCCACTCGGTAGTTATGTTACCACATTTGAATTTTATATTCTTCGTAACTACCAAACTTTTTTTCATAAAATATTAATATAAATTCATTTTCTTGAAGTATTTCTCTGTATGATAGAAAAAGTACTAAATGGAAAAGAAAATAAAGAAACATACTCATTAACAATTGAACACACTAATATCAGAATTTTTTTGTATTCACTTATATCTATCGTTTTTTTTTCTCTTTTATTCTTCTATTTCATGCACGGAGTAAAATACATTAATCATATTATTTGACAATATCATTTTTTCTCACTTTTTCTATTATTTTGCTTAGTTTCCAAAGAAACACAACAACTTGCTCTCTAGATAATGACAAACATGTTGGCAGCTATTAAAAAAAATAAGCATTCTTGAGTGGCGTTCATTTTTATTCTTTTTCATCATTACTAACATATATACCAAAAAAGCTTCAGAACCGTAAACATTTTTCAGTGTACGAGAATGTCTGCTATTGAAACAAATAAACTTGATGATAATGATGATCTTCAATCTCGACGAAGTTTATCAGAACAAACACAATCAATGAATAGTAGTGTACAACAAACTAACTCTGATGATCATGTATCAGCATGGATCATCGATAATGAAGAGAAACCATCACAAGACTTAAAACGCATTACAAAACCCAAACAACTTACTCAAATACCAAAAATTCAAAATTCAAAAAAGTTATCAAAATCTATGGTTATTACAGATAATAAATCATCATCAATACAACGAAGTTCTTCAATAAAACCACGTGAGTATATACGATTGAAATATCCTTAATAGTTATCACATACAATTATTATCAATCATAAAATAGTTCTTAAAGTACATTCTATTCACTGACAAAATCCATCGTTTTGAGAGGAAAAACAACATTCTATTAATAATGTTCAGGAACATTCTTTTATTCTATTTTATTTTAATTGTGATATGTTCATTACTGAAAAAGCCTGTTGTCATCAAAAATTAAAAAGTCAATGAAAAATATTAATGAGTTATAAAACATTTCAACGCAATGAGTATTTTATCAATAATAGTACTCTCTATACATCTTTATTATGTTAGTAAATTTTTTTTTGTTCAATCTTGACAACAAAGTAGTCAATATAAAACCATTGAAAACATCATTATTCAATAGAGTTGAATACAAAGCAGAAAATTACTTGTCATAACTTTCAAAAACATATTCTAATAGACATACATATTGAGAAGATGCGATCAGAATTACTTATATCATACTTTATGATGTATTCATTAGATAGTGTGAATGATTGCAATACAGCACAAAAGAATTCATAGCTTGATCTATGTAAAATTTTTCATAATTATTTTTTTCCTAGTTCTTATCAGAATCTCAATTAAAATTTTGTATTTCCATAATTATACGGATACGTATAATATTTAAGAGAATGATTTCGACTCATCCATAGTACAAATTACTTTTATGTGCATATATTAGAAAAAACTTTTTCTAGTCGTAGTCCAAATTGTTTTCCAGTTTATGTGATTCAGAATATTTTCTCATCAGTCATAGTACTTGAAGAGTGTAGGACGAGAACTACTATTTTTCGATGTAGTTCAAGAACTATTCTTTATAAGAGTAAACCGAAAGTTTTATATATATTTTTCTGTTCTCATTAGAGTCTTTTTTCTTATCGACAAATTGACGAGTACAAAAACAATACAACTCAAGAATTGATACTATAGAAATAGCAAAATAACAACAAAAAAATTTAGAAATAATAAGAAAAATAACTAAACTACTGTCGAATAAAATTGATGTGTTTTGTATTTCATGTATTCAAAGACCTGTGTAAGCCCTTGGAAAGAGAAATCGGATCAACAGGGAGACTTTTGTTAATAAAAACAGTCCATTGTCACATCTTTAATCAGAATCAAATAATAATTCTGAGTAGATAAAGTCTAGAACTTCATTAAAAATATTTTACGAGACCAATCGAATAATATATAGACACTCTTTCTTCAGACAGATCCAAAACATATAGTATTTAAAATTCTTTAATTTTTGTTAAATAGTTCAATCAATGGCGCCTATTCTGCCGATTGGTCGTCGTGTAGTTCAAGGTATTTTAGTTCGATTTTTTCGTAATGGTGATGCATATCATCCAGGTGTTAAAGTTTCAATAAATGAATTAGAAATTAAATCTTGGGAAGCATTTCTTAATTATCTTAATCGACAACCAAAACTTACTCTATTATCTGGAGGCATTCAACATGTTTATTCTCTTAATGGTCGAGAGATTCGTTCACTTGATAAATTTCAAAATCGTCAATCTTATATTGTTGCATCAGGAATATTTATTAAAACAAATTATCATCATATCAGTGATACATTTAATGATGATTCGGATGTACGTCTTAATCAACAAAAACAATTTACAAATGGAATTAAACGATCATCAGATATAAAACCATGGTATTCATCATCAATCAATGGTGAACAACTCTATATATTACCATATTCTCGTTTGAATATATATGAAACTATGATATTGAATCGAAATTTAATAATCAAATTTGATCAATGGTTAAATGAAGAAGTAACAGATTTACTTTTGCATTATATTAGTAATGATATTATAACACATTTATATGCAATAACAAAATTTGCATTTATTGAAGTAAAGAAAAAAAAAGAATTTTTTTAAAAAAAGTTTTATTGAAAATGAAAATTTCTTTTTTTTTATATAGATAAAAAGTTTTTCACATTTATTTAATACACTTAAAATTACAGATAGATTTATCGCATGTACAGATACAGAGTTTCAACATTCAAAACGTTATTTACCAACAATAAGACCTAGTGATTTCTTTGTTAATAGTCTATTGCCAAAAAAATCAATGAATGATTTTGAAAAATATATTTCTAAACAAGGTATGTATTTTAAAATATTCACAAATTTTTCTTTTATTAATAAATATAATTGTTCTAGATGTAAAATTATCTATTAGTTGGATGTAAGTGACAAATATATTTTTATAAAAATTTTTCTATTTGAATCTGGTGATATTTAGTTATGGTTACGCTGGTAACAACGAGAGAACAAAAATCCTTTATACTCTATCTGAAAATGAAATACTTTATGTTATCAATTCAATATGTATTTTATATGATCCTGATTCAAAACAACAACGATTTTATACTAAACACAATAATCCAATAACTTGGTAAATAATATTACAGTAAATCACTAGTGCTAGTTATAGATAGCAACGGATAGATTATTTCTATCAATCGAAGATGACAATCAACACTTCTTATATTATCTATCGTAGGAGTTGAGAAGGTGACTCTCCTTTGAGAATGAACTAACCGATCCTGCAGATTGTAGTTATTGTACATTTCTTTTTGAATGGTCTCGTTCCTGATCTAGGAGAAAATTATTTTAGAATTTATTCTTATTACATTTGAAAAAGATTCTTGAATATCTGTATTTTGGTTTATTTAGTTGATGACTAGCACTTTCTTTGGAGTCATCTTTCTTGAATTGTGTTTGGATTAATGTGAAATCATGACTGTTGATTGCTTAATTGAGCAATCTTATATATAAAATTTCTTTTTTTTCTACTAATCTAGTGTCACTATTCATCGATGTAATTCATTCGTTGCGTCAAGTGAAACAATTTCATCAAAAGATCGTCCTTATGCTTCAGTACACATTTGGAATCACATGAAACTTGAAACAATAGCTGAATTACGTAAAGAACAATTTGGTTCTGATATATCTCTATTATCATTTTCACCTAAATCAGATGATAATTTCATTCTTATTGTTTCACGTGATAAACCAAAAATTGTTTTATTTATTGATTGGAAACGTAATGAAATAATCTACAGTATTACAGTAAGTATTATTTTGTATTATAAAAAATCTACTATTCATTCCAAAATTGGTGGAGATTTTCGATGAGTCGATAAGAAAGATTCTTCTCGAAGTAGATAGTTTAAATCTCACGGAAAATAGCTTCGACATATTGGTGGTCGAAAATTTTCACCAAGTATTGTCCTGATTAGTCAATACAATGATTGTAGTTCTGAATGGTGCTTCTGTCAAAAATTATTGAAAAAAAAAGTAGAGCGCATCAATTTGAAATGAATAGTAGATCATTTTTTCGTTGATATTTAGACTAAATCTGAAAAAATCCTCTCGGCATTATTTATCTTTAATACAAATGAATGGATCGTATGTATAAGTCAACAATATTTAATATTTTATCGTATTAATTGGAATTCAAAACCATTAAAAATTGCAGTACAACGAGAATCAGAAGTTCAAGTAAGATTATATTTGGAAAGCAATACGATTGATTATTTTCTGTTTTTATTTCATAATATTAGAATATTTATACAGGTGCAGTTGCATGTGATAATAGCGGTGAAAATTTGATTATTGGTGATAAAATTGGAAGTGTACACGTCTGGTGTTTAATTAATAATGAACCAAAATTAGTAGCTGTTAAAGAAAGTATTTTAGAGGTAATCATTATTCATATTTTTTTGTCTCAGCAATAATGGAAAAAATATTTCGGGCCACATATAAAAGATAGGTGAAAAACTACACCTAATCAACGGGGATTATATTCTTAAAAGTCAATTTCCTGTCGATTATTACAATTTTTTCGTCGCTTTTTAAGCACAAGTAAGAATAATGACTGAGTATACTTTTTTTGTACTGACTCATGAAAAGCTCTATCAATTGAGCAAAAGGCTTTTTTTGTATAATGTACTGTAAATCTGTCGGAAAAAAACATTTTGTTTCTTCTCTCTTATTCGGATTTAGATTGATTATCAAAGTGAACTGAAATATTCTTTTATGACTTTGAGTGGAGTGAACTATGGAAAATACCCTTTTCTCTAATAAGTGACACAACTACGGAGAATAAAGTATATTTCCACAGTAACCAAGAGCAATAAATGTCACACTCCTTGCAAGCCTCCCTCAAAATTAAAATAACTGGCATTCATGTGTATATACCTTTGCTGCAGTGGTTATATGATCAGCATAAAAAGTGTGAACTGATTAAATTATAAGTTTGGAAAAGAATCACAGACTTCTATGCGATGTTTAAGATAATAATAATGTTATATTTAAAAAAAATAGAATACAAAAATGAAAGATAATGCGCTACTAGCAACAAGATAAACAAAAAAAAATTCTTTTGCTCGAAATGCAAAAATAAGAAAAATCGTTTCTTTGGTGATCGATTGTCCTTGAAACCAACTACAATCTGAAAGAAGTTTTTCACACGATGTGTTATGTACGGGTATAATGATGCTAAAGAACATATATGAGTTCCACATGTTAGTTCTAAAAGGACTGCGCTAATAAATTCTCTTATTTTATGATATAATATAAAAACTGCTTAATAAAAAAATTGCGATATGTAATCTAATTGACCAATTATCTTAATATACATCTATATATATTTCTCATTTACAGAATGATGTGCATATAATTGTATTTATTAATGAAGAAGTCTTTCTTCTTGCTGATGGACAAAATCAAATGATACTTTGGAATGTTAAATTAAATACAATTAAACACATATCAGTAATGATTGTACTATATAGATTTTTATGACGCTTTTCTTTTATCTCTTTGAATTAGTTAAAGGATACTTTTGGTACCATTCAATCAATTTGTTCTATTCGACGAGGATTAGCCATTGGAACAAAATTAAATTATATACTTCTGAAAGAATTTGATACCGAGCAACTTAACGTTATTATGCGAGTATGTTTATAGATTAAAAAAAAACTTAAAGTTCAAATCAACGAATTTATTTTTTTTTTGTTAGGGACATACAAGTCCATCGATATGTATATGTTCGAATAAAAATACAAATTATTTCTTTTCTATAAGTTCTGATCGATATCTATTTAAATGGAATAATAGAACAAGATCCGTTGAATGGTCAATTAAATCTCCGGTTGACTATTATTTTTATATTTAATCAAAATTAAACTTTTCATTTTTTTTTTTTTATTATAGCAATTAATTTCATGTGCAGCTTTACATCCTCAAAGAAATATTATTGTTCTTGGCACTGAAACAAGAAAATTACTTATCTATGATACTTTATCTTCATGTTATATAACAACAATTGTATTAAAGATTAATACTGGTGTAAAAACAGTTCGATTTTCACCAGGTATAATTTATTTAAAAACAAAACTTGATAAGGTTGCAATTTATTTTTGATAAATTTAGATGGTGAAGATTTAGCTGTTGGATTACAAAATGGAATGATTTGTATATTCAATGTATTAGGTAATGGAGATTTTAACTTTCGAGCAGATGGAATATCGCAGGTATAGAATGACAACAGTCTTTTCTTTTTAAATATATATATATATATATATGATTTATACAGATTAATAATGCATTCATAACTGATATTATATGGTCAGTTGATTCAGCTTATCTTCTTGCGATTTACAGTAACAATAATTATAATATTTGTAAGTAATGAAAAAAACTCAACCAAAAAGAATTTTGTCTGATTATAGGGTCAATACCATCGTTTGATATTGTACGAGAACAAAATATTCAACATATTCAATGGTATCAAATGACACATCCAATATCTTGTAATACAATCGGTATGATAGATATAGAAATAGAAACAAAAACAAATAAAAATCTTTATCTCGCATATCTTGAGATAACAAATTTTGATCTACATTTTCAAAAGAATAAAATTAGTAATCCGGCTTGTCCAAACGTAACGCTGTTACGTTTTTGAAAATTCTTCTTCAACTATCTCGAAAAGTTTAAGAGCTATGAAGTTCGTTCAAACGTCATTCGACGCAGCTTATCGAACTTTATTTATCGTATAAAAATGGCCTTTTTTGACTGAAGTCTCAGGCATCTAGAAAGGTTTTATCATGGCGTAACGCTGTTACATAAAAGGACCCTTTTTTTCCAGTGCCGCCAAGAAAACTCTAAATTCTTGCGAAACCATTTCTTCAAATGTAATGCTCCGAGAGTCATTTTTGTAGAGCATTGAATAGGCTTTCAGGCAGTAAAAAAAATTTTCTCTAAAATATTTTTGCTCAGATAAAAAATGCAAAAAACAAACGTAACGCTGTTACGTTTTTCGTAACGCTGTTACGCAGTTTTTTGTTGACCAATTTTGAGGCACTTAATGTACTCAGAATGACTTGATTTTTATAAGTGTTACTGTTTTCTATGTAGACAATTCCCTATGCAAAAATGAGATTGATACATCGATCTGAGAGCTCATAAACTGAGCAGGAAGTTGGGAATTGTATCGAAGTCTCCAATTTGTTCTAAGCTGCCAAAGTCAAAACTAAATAGACCATTTTTTAGAGAATTTAATTCTGCATCGAATGGTATGTCTCTTGACCTTTGTTGAAAAAATTTCTTGGTCAAAAAATCCAAAATACGGTTTTTGAAAACTTTAAAATCCAGTTTTCGATACCAAAATCTGATTTTTATACAAAATTAATACCAAATTCGTAATCAGCGTAAAAAACTGCATCTAGTACCCCACTGAGATCTGTCCAATTCGAAAAAAAATTTTTTCAAAACTTGATCAGCGAAGTGTCGCGTTACGTGGACAAGCCGAATCCTCCTCTGTAATTGAAAACCTTGAATTCGAAACATACACCGTTCCATAGAATTCTTTTCAAAATCCTAAATATAAATGAGCCGTGAAAAAGAAACTGAAAACTTCTCAATAATGACTTTATAACAACAAAACTACCTATGTTTTAGAGCTTTCAAAACTCTTGTGGAAGTAATTCCAATGTTCAAAAGAAAACTTGTTAGGAAAAACTAATGAACGTAATTAATTGTTCAAATTTTGAATTTACAGAAAAAAGCCTAATCTTCTCTCACTTATCTCATTCTTTCCAAAAAAAAAATATCCATATGATTATCTGTAGATGACAAAAAAAATCCACCCTAAACCTATGAAAGGAAATAAAAATATTAAGACAATAATCACACTGCTATTTATTGAGGGCTATTGGTTATTATTGTAGAAGTGGTTTCCATTGTTTCTATATTTCTTTTATAGATAAATCATTTGTTGAAATGCATACATCGGCAATTATGTTATCACCTAATCTTGTTCTTTGTTCTGGTAAAGATGGTCAAATTCGTTTATTTCAAAATTTTCATAAAGTAAAACAGTCGTATAAAAGATTCATTTTCTATTTTTATTAATTTCTCATTCATAGCGTAACATTCGAACATTACAACTTGGTCTTGATTCTATTCAATGTATGATACCATCTACAAGCAATAATACATATCTCTTAGCAATACATAACAATCCGGCTATTGTTGAAATTCAATTAAATATTTAATCATAATGATTGTTGTAAATTCGTTACGTCTGATTTTTGTTTATCACATATTAAAATATTTTTATTAATGAAATTTGTCAAAATAAAATCGATAAAAACTGCACCAAACGAATGTATTAAAAAAAAAGCTCAAGAATATGTGTTCATATGGAACAAAAGGCGTGAAAGTAAAAAAAAGGCAATGATAGAAAAAAAATATTGTTTTCTTTTCTTTGTTTTTTTTTGTTTTCAATAAGAATTAGTTGAGCTTGAATCAATAAATGTTTTTGATCGTACGAAATCACCATAATTAGAACCTGAATGTGAGCAAACAGGTAAATCACGTGTTGTATCACCAAATGTTTGTCCGACACGATATTTACGTTCTTGAAAATAAATATTTAAAATAAAAATTTATTTTTCTATTATAAATATCTTACGAGGTAGATAACCAGTATATCTTGGAACCATTCCCGATTGAGCGTAGATTCGATGAGATGAACTTGATATTGGACGTGATTGTGTAAAATCAATTAAGCTTTTTGTATAACTTAAATGAGAAAATATCATATTTTAATATTTTCTTTTGTTATTTAAATTTTACACAGGAGATGGGGAAATGGGGATATAGCATTTCTATTATAGAGCAGATAGAATCTTTCACTCTTTTTCCTAAAAGCAAATCATTACTACACACAAAATAATAACCTGTCTAGAATAATATATATATATATTAATTAGTTGAATTCGTAAATTATTTACTTCGATCGATTATCATAATCTGCTGACAATGGTTGATTATCAACAGATGTAGAAAAATTTGTCATAGAATTTGTTGTTTCAACTGCAAAACGATGTAAAGATCTTTTTGTTGCTTCATGATAACGTGTACCAAGGCCAACACCTATCGAACCCATACGAGGAATATGACCATGATAACCAGGCATCGGTGGTTCAACAAATGGGCGACGATCATCTATCATTATTATATAAATTATTTTTATATTATTTAGAAAATTCTTTTATGTCAATACCTTGTTGAGAAATTTCTGTTGGATGATATGCTCGATGATAATCAAGAAAATGTTTAACAACTGTACCACTATTTAAACTTGTTGTTTTTGGATAAGCACTAATAGCACGTTGTAGATCTTGAACTTTTTGTTTTTCTTTTGCATATGCAATTTTTGTTCCGACAACACATGCATCGGTTTCAATACGATATCGATTACCATGTTGATATTTTCGTTGAGGAACATAACCTAATTTTGAATAATGATTACCAAAAAAAGAAATAAACTACAGACAAACTTTTTTGTTACCTGTATAACCTGGAATTAATCCATCAGGAAATTCTCGTGTTACATATGGATCAGATTGATCATATTTAACAACATCAGATTTGGAACGTTTTAATAAATGAGGAAAATCTTTAGATAATCGATGAGTTTCTTCACCGTATGTATGACCTTGACGAAATCTTAATTGATGAATATGTCCAGTATATCTATGTGATAAAACAAAAAATGAAATATTCAAAACTTTTTTTTTATCATTTGAAATTTAAAAACTTTTCAAATTCTAATATATGTTTTTCTTAACAATGTTCTTTTAGTCATCAATATGAAACATTATAAGTTTTAAAAAAAATTGATTCGATAAGTTTTCATTCTGACATGATCCAAAATGAATCAATTAAAGAAAACTTATAGCTACATTAAAAGGAATATCGTGTAGATCGTTGTTTTACTAATAATTTCGATTTTATATTTTAATGAATATAAAACGAAATTAATACTTTCATTCACCTTTGCTTTAATCGGATAAACAAGACGTGTAAATATTTATTTATACAATGTTATTAGATTCTGGATGTATTTCTTATCGCAATATGAACAAGTGATTCTACTCAGTGCGATCACTCTGACTGCTGAAAATGCTGCACCACTCGATTAACTTCTACTCTACGGTGCCTTAAGCAGTTTTTCGTTTATGATCAGTTAGTCATTGTTATTTTGCATTTGAGTAATTTTTATCAATAAATTATATCTATCAGTTAGTTTTCAAAAATAAAATATTATTACTTTGGAATTTCTGAGCCATCTTTAAGATTAGCGAATTGTCGACGAGCTTCAAGTGTTGGTCCACCACCGAATTCTACCGTTGTCATTTCTCCTGTTTGAGAAGAAACGAACAAAAAACAGGGCTAAAAACAGTTTGTTTTTTCTGTCATTTACTTCTAGCATTATTACGAATAGCTTAGCAACGACCTCTACAGGTTTTATATCAGCATGTCTATGCATTTTATGAACTTCGAAAAATAGAATAAATTAAAAAGATCAATATGAATTTAAAATTTAATTAATACATGGTTTTAATATTGATTCATTTTTCAAACAATAAAAGCAAAGGCTTGAAACTCATTGGTTCATGAATAAATATGCTTTGTTTATTCAATTCTTTTTCTTTTGACATTGTACTTGTATCAACCTAATTTAACATTTTTTGTCTTTGAACGCTTCGAAATGAGTACTGACGTGATCGCTTTGTCTTCTTCTTCTATGAAAGGTATGTATTTCGTTTTTCAATTTTTTTTTTCTTCTTCAACAAAGAATCTTCAAATTATTTAGAACAAACAGAAATGGTAACTAAAATGGACACATCTAGTAACGATGTTGATCCAACACATAATGAAGAAACATCAATGAATGGTGCTGATGAAACATCAACGGGAAATAAAACAGGCAAACGAAAACGTTCAACTAAAAAACGTGCAGAAACTGACGAGTCTGCTACACCAAATGGTCGTCCAAGACGTACCCTACCAAAACGTAAATCATTCTTGTTGAATTTGAAAAATAATCTTGTTGGACATTTAGGTGAAGAACCGTCAATGACTATGGTAAATGGTAGTGGTAAAGCACATAAAACAAAAGCACAACGTACTTCAGCAGAACAAGCAGCTGTTGATGCAGATGATGAACAAGAACGAGAAAAAAATATTCCTGTAGTTCATGATGTTGCTGATGTTGTTTGGGTTAAAATTGGTGGACATCCATGGTAAGTATTTTTCTAAAAAAATACAAATATTTTTTAATAAATTTTATTCAGGTGGCCAAGTCTGATCATTCGTGATCCAAATGATACAACAAGATGTTTTACTAAAATATCTGGTAAGTCATAAACAAGAAGAAATGAATATAAGAAAAATCAAATCGTTTGTTTCTTTAGGTAATACACGTGCAAAACGAATGTATTTTGTAGTATTTTATGGTTCAACAGCTGATTTTGCATGGGTACCTGATGCAGCTATAATTCCATACCAAGGCGTTGAAGCTTTTACTAAATATGCACAAGAAATTGTTGATAAGGTAAATGAAAGATAATTAAATTCAATAGTTTTAGAATTTCGTTTCTTTTCTCAGGCTCAAACAAAATCTCAAAAAGAACAATTAACAGAACGATTTCAATTGAAAGTAACTATTGGTCGCCGTGAAGATTGGGAAATGGCTGTACGTGAAGCTGATGAAGCACTTAAACAAACAAGTGAAACACGTCTAGAAGAAATTGAACCTAAAATTCAATTTTATACATCAAAACTTAGTATGAATAACTTGTAGACAAAGAAAAAAAAATTCATAAAATATTTTTGATCTTGTAGCTACTCCAAAAGGTCAACCAGGTCGAAAACCAAAAGCATTAATGACAAAATCTGAAGATGTATCTGAACCAACAAGTGGACCAACATCATCACTTGATCCTAGTGATCGTTCATTACTTGCTGAAAAAACTTTTGAATTTAAATCTGAAGATGAATCATCCAATGATGAGCCACCAGTGCGTAAAACACCATCAGTTAAAATAAAACTAAAAAAACAAACATCCAATGATGTTGATTCTTCAATAACACCACCAGCTAAACGTCGTTATATACGTAATTCAACAGCACCAAATGAAAGTACAACCGTCTTTGGACAAACAGCTAATGGTTCATCTGTTTCATATCAACAACGTACACCAACAAATACAAATGAAACACCAACAGTTAATGGAACTAGTACAGGAAGAAAACGTGGACGACCACGTCTTAGTAAACCATCAGTTATAACAACAAATGGTGATATTCAAAAACCGGAAACTACCTCGGATAGTCCATCAGTTGCAACGAAACCTACAACACCAAAACCATCGATTACTAAGCCACAGGCATTTATGAATACGGTAAATGAAATTTGAAAAAATTATTATTACTTTGTACTATGATCTAAAAGAAGTGTTATCTTTCATATTATCATTCTCGTAAAAGTTTTTTGTAATGAAAATGATTGTTTGCTCTTGTTTAGTCTCATCCTGTCTCATCATTAAATAATATTCTTGTTGGACAACATCATCGTTTTGATACACGTATTGGATTTCTTTCACCATTTGAAGAACAAGAAATATTTGATACTGTTGATCAATTACGTTCAACTAAAACATTTGAAGAAGCTGAACAAATTGCTAAACATCGTTTTGAACATATACTTTGTTTAAATCTTAATAAGACACATGTTGATATTCCACAAGAATGTAAGTCTTGTTTTCTTAAATGAATTTGACTTTGATTAAACATTTATTATAGGGTTCTATTCATTTCTTTTTGCTCATCCAATATTAATTGTTAAAAATCCTCATTGGTTTGATGAGAAAAAAAATTCAGATTCATTAATCGATAATGATTTATTGAATGATATTAATCGTACTCAATCATCGAGTAGTTTACATGTATTGAAACATCAATTATCAATTTTATCAAAATTATATCATAATGAATTACAAGTTCGTCAAGCAGGTGTTAATAATACAAATAAATAAAATTTTGTTCGAAATATAAAAGGAAAAATTATTTGAATGTATATATTTTTTTTTCTATTTTTCACCTGCGTTTATTGTAGGAGACAAATATAACTATTGAGTTTAACTCGATTTCTTGATTGCAATAATATTGAAAAAAAAAAGAAAAGAATTTTTTTGTTTTGTTC